GATGGAGGTGTGAAAGAGCTGGATTTTTCTTAGTGACCGCTCTAGCTTTCCATCTGAGACCATAGTCAAACCAACACTCTTCATCCATAGCACTCGAAAGTAGATGAGAGATGATGTGAGGTCACTGAACCGGAAAGAGTGAACTCTAATTTGCAAGTTTCTACTTCTTTTCTAAATGTAGTTGCACCTGAAGATCTTTGCTGTCAGGTCTGACTACCAAGTGTCCACTATGCTGCCTCTCAGCACAAAAATTTATTTTTTGGCTGTGCTCACTTGTGTCACTGTATTTGATCTCTGAATCTTGGGGGTGCTTTGCAGTGGTTCTCAACCTGTGGGTCCCCAGATGTTTTGCCCTTGAACTCCCAGAAATCCCCACAGCTGGTAAACTGGCTGGGATTTCTAGTAGTTGTAGGTCAAAACATCTGGGGACCCAAAGGTTGAGAACTACTGCTTTAGGGGATGTTACATGACACCTCCAATACTGGGGCAGGGAGGGCGGCTATGGCCACCTGGACATGGTGCTTTGATTTATTTTCTTTGCCTTTGGTTGCATTGTGCTACTATTTCACATAGTGTCATATAGTACTTATCACTTAAAGTACAATGAAGAAAGTAGAAATGGGTGCTCCAGTGGCTGTCCATAGTTTAAAAATACGGTATATCATTAAAACATATTAATGGTGACTAATAAAAAACAACCACTTTGGAAGGCGTACAATTTTTTCAGATTTCATACATTTGTGTGAAAAAAACACAACACTGAAACGTTACAACTGTTTTGTATCTCCAGTGGTAGTCAATCCAAGTTGGTTATCTTGATTCTGTTTTGTGATCCAAAGTGTGTTAACTTGGGTCCAAATTCCTCCAAATCATATAAGAGTCCAATGTGAATCACCAAATTGGATTCTGAATTGAATCAGAGGACTGTTGTATCATCCTAGCTCCTTTTTGCTTATTGTGCTTATTATCATTTTAAACAAGTTTGAGATGTATTTAAAAGCTGGTATATATTGTTAGAAAAGAATAGCAGCTTGGATTTTCAGTGGAATCTCCAAACTGGCATTGTATCTGAATATATTATATCCCAGGCAATCCCCAGACAGAGGTGCCTTCAGACTTTTCTGAAAGATTTATCACTTCTATCCTTGCCAGCTAAGTGCTATAAGTAATAATTGGACCAATGCTTTGAGAAATAGATCCGTGGCATAGCTTGGCTATGATTTTTATTGCAATGCAACTTGGTACTTCCAATTACACATGCATAGAATTGATCTGTAGATCTGTTACATAATGAAATATTGTAACTGCCTGAAATATTTTGAAATATGATACCTTTCATGGCATCATATTTCTAGAGCTAGAAGACCTAAAGATGGTAGTGCAGGCACCGGTGACCTCAAAGCTGGACTTCTGCAATGTGCTGTGTATGGGGCTGCCTCTATATCACATTTGGAAACTTAGTATGAAGTATTGCAGCCAGATTGGTTACTGGTGCACCGAGGAGTCTTTCTGCAATTTTCCTATTTCTTGGAAGGGGGTTGGACTAGATGGCCCATTAGGTCTCTTCCAGCTCTATGAATTTTTGATTCTATCTTCTTACAGGTTGAACATCTCTTATCCAAAATGCTTGGGATTTATTAGAAGTGCTTTGGAGTTAGGCATATATGTATATACATGAAGTGGTACCTTTGAGACAGAACCCAAATCTAAACACAACATTCATTGATGTTTCATATATAGCTTATACACATGGCCTGCAGGTAACATTATGCAATCGTTTTAATAAATTTGTACCTGAAACAAGGGTTTTGTACACTGAACCACCCCCCCCTCAAAACAAAAACAAAAAAAAACCCCAAAGTATTACTATCTCATCCAGTTTCAGATTTTGAAGCATTTCCGATTTTCTGATTAGAGATGCTTAATCTGTATTAAAATTACATCACTAGATGTGATTAGCAACTGTTAACCAGAAGGGTTTGGAAACAACCAGCGAGATGAGATCGATACATTATCTGTGCTTAAAACAGCATGAAATAATAATAATAATAATAATAATAATAATAATAATAATAATACATTTTTATTTATACCCCACCACCACCTTCCCAAAGGGACTCGGGGAAGCTTACAGATCTCTCCAGCTAGTTTTTAAATTATGAGTTATATCATGCATCAATTGTTTTTAGTGTGTGTGCTTTTAAAACTGGTGTTATGTCCTTTAAACAGATTATGTGTTTTTAATTGGTGTTTATGTTTTTAACTGTGTTATGTCTGTACCTGGAGCCCCTGGTGGCACAGCGGGTTAAACCGCTGAGCTGCTGAATTTGCTGACTGAAAGGCTGGCAGTTCAAATCCGGGGAGCGGGGTGACCTCCTGCTGTTAGTCCCAGCTTTTGCCAACCTAGCAGTTCGAAAACATGCAAATGTGAGTAGATCAATAAGTACCACTCTGGCGGGAAGGTAACGGTGCTCCATGCAGTCATGGAGCCACATGACCTTGGAGGCAACTCTGCCTCTTCAACTTAGAAATAGAGATGAGGACCACCACCAAGAGTCGGACATGACTAGACTTACTGTCAAAGGGAAACCTTTAACTTTACCTTATGTGTCTACCTGTGTAGTGTTTTAATTAGTTGTTCCTGGCCTCAATTCCTAGGAAAAGGCAGGCAAGAAATCATCATCGTTATCATCAGCACCACCATCATTAGCATAATCCCCTTTGGGATTTAATCAGATTCAAATATGAAATATTTTTAATAATCTACTTTAATCGCTTTTACATTTCCAGGTGCATTCAATTGCAAATGCTTCCAACTCTGCTGTCAATGTCCATTGCAAAGCCTCTATGCTTACCCCAGTTTTTATCTTCTTATTCAAGACAGTTACTTCATGAACAAAGGTTTTATTTACAGACTAAATCCAAGTTTCTATTTACATTCGTCTAGACTGCTGACTACTGATAATTAACGTTTTCCTGTTGGGAACTCTTAGTACAGATTGAATATCCCTTATCCAAAATGGTTGGGACCAGAAAGATTTGTGATTTTGGGATACCTGTGTGTAGCCCAAATGTGCATAACTATGTGTATAATGAGATGTGTTGGAGGTGGAATCTAAGTTTTAAAATGAAATTAATTTATATTTCACTTACATCTTACACACATAATATGAAGGTTATTTTATACACAACATGTTTAATAATTTTGCGCATGAAACTAAGCTGTGTGCATTGTATTATCAGAAAGCAAAGGTATTATAATATCAGCAACCTGAGGCAGACAATCTTGAATTTTACAGTATTTCGGAATTGTGGCTCCACCTTTATTGCTAAATTATAGGCTACATGAAACATGAAAACTATGAAGATTACTTTTTCTTCTTCTCCTTCTTACAATCAAGCAAGTACGGTCACTGGGATATCCTCAACAGGAAACACAGCCAGTTGGCTGGAGTTGGACAACCATGAATCAAATTGATGGTTTGCCAGATTTTCCTGGACTTGAGTCATTCTTGGCTCAAATGAATTATTGATCATTAAGGTAGTGTGCTGATATGATCAATCCCAACAACTACTGATGGGAGCTTAGGGTTGATATTGAGAAATCAAACCCTGACATTATGAAATATATATTATGTGAATAGAAATTGCTCTGAAAAGCCTAGCGAGCTGCACTTTTGTCTTACATTAAGTTTTTTGTATAAACTGGAATGTTGTCTGTTTGCACCCAAGACCTCATGCCTTAATTTCCATAATCCTCTCACAATGGACTGGGAGATGGGGGCAGGGGGCTATGACTAAGATCCTGTGGGATCACTACCATGTGTGTGTTAAGAGAAAAAGACTCACCCTGATTAATTACGATCCACAGGCTGAGTAATTGGAGTAATTGAGGTCAACAAGTTTTGGGTCACTCCCGAAGGGGTATACAGTGTTCCCTCACTTATTGTGTGGGTTCTGTTCCAGGACTACCCGCAATAAGTGAAAATCCGTGAAGTAGGGATGCCATATTAATTTTAATATGTATACATTATTTTATATATATTTATATTATTTACTTACCCACGCTTCCTTACCCACCTCCCGGCCTATCCCAAGGGCATCTATCTGCCTCCCTGGTTTCTGCAGAGCCTCTGGAGCCACACAGGCGGCAGCAGACCAGAGAGACAGGCCTTCCACGTTGTGCCTCAGGCCGACGCACTTCTGGGGTCCCTGGCCTCCACTGGACGTAAATATTTAATATTGTTATTAACATTTTCAAAAACCCGTGAAACAGCGCGTCTGCTAAAAGCGAACCACGAAGTAGCGAGGGAACACTGTAACTGGAGAGTGTTTGTTGTATCACTTTGGGATTACTTTATGTTTGCTCCTGAGTTTACTTGGCGTAAGCTCCTGTCTTGCAGCTTGTTTGACACTGGCAAGTTTGTCTTACATGCTCATCTTCATGAACAAGAATGAAGATTGGGAGAAGACATATTTTCTCATGGAAAGCATTGCATGAATTAAATGCAAGGACCATATGTGAGTTTGATACTCCAGAGTATCTGTGACTGTATGATTACTAGAAAGTCTGTGTTGAAGTGACTGTTTTTTCATGGACTCTGCTGCACTACAGAAAAATTAAAGTTTTGCATGTCCTCAAATTGTGTTGCTCATTTTTGAATATACAAAGGACTAATCTGCTGGTCTGCATGCATTGTCAAACTGTAACAGAAATTACTCCATAGATGTATGTCAGAGCTCCCTGGGTCCATTTCTGCTACCATTGATAATATCGAGACTATCTGTGGGAAAGATCTGGCATCCATGCCTCAAGCCAGCTTCACCTATTGAGATGGGCATCATGCCCAAGTATCTACTGTGTACACTGAACTAATGCTATTATATTAACCAGATCTAACCCATTGAACCCATCAAGGGCTCCTTACAGATTGCCACACTGCATTCCTTTGGGATCACGTCCCTTTCGGTGATGGACCGTTAAACAGACTGACACTTCAAATGATCCAATTACAGTTTATTGAATTTCTTGCCATGTGAAGACAATCAGGGAAGACATTTGACAGAATCTTAAGCCACTCAGAATGTGGATCCTAGCTGGACTCTTTTTCAACCAATCAGGAACTGGCGTGGGTTTCTTAAATAGCTGTAAAATGAAATAAAAATGGTCTGTATTCACAATTGAGGTATGCCAGTATTTTGGAGTGCTTTCTCCACTGACATCCTCATAGGCGATTGAGAATAAACCTCTGGTTTTGCCTTTTACCCCATTTGTGTGATTTGACCTTCTGGATTAGCTAGACACACCAGGCTTCCAAACCTGTGGTTCTTGCAGTAGCTGAAATCACTCAACAGAGTGACAGCAAAGGAAGACCCCCTGTAATTCTACTTCTACCTGAACATATCTGTTTTCTTTGGAGTTGAATGTGCACGCCTCCAAGCTCGGGTGCGTCTACATGGCGGAATGTAACTGACATGGCTTAGTGCTATGGAATCATCAGAGATGTAGTTTGGTGAGGCACCAGCAGAGAAGGCTAAAGACCTTGTCTAACTACAACTCCTATGGTTGCATAGCATTGAGCCATAGCAGTTAAAGTGGTGTCAAACTGCATTAATTCTACAATGTAGATTCACCCCTAGTGTGCTGCCTCTAGTGTAGTAGAAGATGTTTTCCAATCCCAATCCCAGTGCAGTCAACTTCTACAGGTGATATGGGGTGGACTGACAGTGGGGATGAGCACTCATTTCAACCAGCAAAAAGGTGACTATGGAAGCAGATTCTCGTCCTCAAAAGTTCACACCATAGTCAGTCTGTTTGTTTGGCATCAGTTACAGTTGGGTGTCAAACAATGTGGAAACTCATGGTGTCACTCCCATGGACTGCTTCCTGTATCAGACCAGAATATTGCAGCTAAAATATCAGAAACTTGGGCAAAACCTGCAACTATAAAAATCCAGCAGTAACAAAAACAGGACATGCTTGCAAGGTATGCAGATGAAACTATATGAGTCAAAGCCATGGTAGTACACGCCTTAGTCACATCCAGATTAGTCACATTATTGTAACGTGCTCTATGTGGGGCTGCCCCAGAAGAGCATTCAGAAACTTCAGCTGGTCCAAAGGTCAGTGGCTAGACTTCTTATGGTGGCAGAATATAGAGAAAGAACTACTTTGTTCCTGAAGCAGCTACACAGGCTTCCAGTTTGTTTCCAGGCACAATTCAAGGTGCTGACTTTAGTCTATAATGCCCTAAACGGTTTGGGTCCAGCCTACTTGAGGGACCACATCTTCTCCTACCAGCCCACATGAGCCCTATGATCATCAGGAGAGGCCCTTCTCTCAGTCTCACCACCGTCAGAAGTGTGGTTGGTGGGGAGAGAGAGGGCCTTCTTTGTGGTGGCCCCACAGCTCTGGAACTCCCTTCCCAAAGAGGTGTGATCAGCCCTCTCTTTACTGGCCTTTTGCTCATTTCTGTGGAATCTTTTACTTTACTTACTTAGGCGATTCCTCGTAGCCTGAACATGATGGTCCTCCAAATGCAGTGTCTTGGCGGTGGGTTCGTAGGTGGCTGTGGAGTGAGGACATCGGTTTTCAGTCTGGGTTGGCTTGATGCAGCTTCCTCTTGGCACATTTCTCCTTCTCCCTCCATTCATGCCTCTTTGAATTCTGCAGCACTGCTGGTCACATCTGACCTCCAGCTAGAGCACTCGAGGCCAGTGCTTCGCAATTCTTGGTGTCTATGCCAGCGTTTTTAAGGCTGGCTTTGAGCCCATCTTTACATCTCTTTTCCTGCCCACCAACATTATGTTTCCTGTTCTTGAGTTCAGAGTATAGTACCTGCTTTGGAAGACTGTGATTGGGCATTCAGACAACATGGCCAGTCCAGCAGAATTGATGGCGTAGTAGCATCACTTCAGTGTTGGGGGTCTTTGCTTCTTCCAGCATGCTGACATTTGTCTGCCTGTCTTCCCAAGAGATTTGAAGGATTTTTTTGGAGGCAATGCTGATGGAATCATTCCAAGAGCTGAATGTGATGTCTGTAGACAGTCCACGTTTAGCAGGCATATAGCAGGGTTAGGAGGACAATAGCTTTATGAACAAGCACCTTGGTCTTCCCACGGATGTCCCGGTCCTCAAACACTCTCTGCTTCATTCAGAAAAATGCTACACTTGCAGAGCTCAGGCGGTGTTGTATTTCAGTGTCAATGTTGACTTTGGTGGAAAAGGAAAGGGCCTGAGGCTGTTAGGAATGGTGGGAGTTGGAGTCCAAAACACCTGGAGGGAGGGCTGAAGTTTGCCCATGCCTGGTCTATATGTGCTATAAGGAGAGGCGGGAAAATGGGGAGGAGCCTCTCTCCCTTGGCCCCGCCGCTTCCCTCCTCGCGCCGCTTCGCCTTTTGCGTGGTGACGCAGCCGAGCAAGCAAGCCAGCGAGCGCGCGACAGCCGGGGCCCGGGGAGGCGCGCGCGCCTTCCTTTGCAGCTTCCTCCTCCTTCTTGCTCTCTCTCCCCTTTTCCTCCTTGCTGCCCGTCTCCGGAGCAGGCCAGGCTCGGTGCCCGCAAAAGCGGCTGGAAAGACAGAAGGGAAAAAAACAACAGAGGATCCTCTTCCTCTCCAACTGCAAAAAAGGGGAGCGAAACTTCACGCCCGTAGCGGAAAGAAAGCAAGAACAACGAAAGAGGAGGAGAAGGAGGAAATCAACAGCAGCAACAGGAGGATCGGAAGGAGTGAGTCCAATAGCAGGTTTTCGGGAAGATTTGCTTCTCTCTCCCTCCCTCTTTTCTTCCTTCCTTCTTTCTTCGTTGCAGGAAACTTTTCAGCTCCTTAGGGAGCATCTGCACTGTAGAGTTATTGCGGTTTTACATTACTTGAACTGCCATGGAATCAAGGAAATTGTAGTTTTGCAAGAGGCTGGTGCCTCACCAAGCTGCAACTCTTGGGATTCCATAGCATTGAGCCCTGGCTGTCAGAAGAGGCATCAAACTGGAATAATAATAATAATCATCATCATCATCGTCATCATCTTGATTTATACCCCGCCACCATCTCCCCAAAGGGGACTCAGGGCGGCTTACATGAAGACAACCCAGTAGTTATGGTTTGTTGTAAGTTTTCCGAGCTGTATGGCTATGTTCTAGAAGCATTATCTCCTGAGGTTTCGCCTGCATCAGTGGCAGGCACTTCACACAAACTATACTAACCGACAAACACAGAGACGATTCGATAAATATCACACTCATTGTCTCTTTGATTTTTATCCCTTATTATTCGACTCCCTTTTTGTTTTTATTAACATCCATCAGGGACAGCCAACAGCTCCCAACAAAGGATTCCCCCCGGCAGGAAGCAACCAGGCTTTGAAGCTGCAAGGCTACTCAGTGCTGATCAAGCTGGCCTCAAACAGACAAGAGTTCTTTCTTCACCCTTGATATGTGTGTAAACCCTACTTGCCGAGTTTCAAATAGACCTCACAACCTCTGGGGATGCCTGCCATAGATGCAGGCGAAACATCAGGAGAGAATGCTTCTGGAACATGGCCAAACAGTCTGGAAAACTCACAACTCAGTGATTCCAGCCATGAAAGCCTTTGACAATACATTGGATTAGTTCTGCAGTGTAGATGCACCCTCCCCATCTCACCTTCCCAAATCCTCTTCTAAGGCTGCATCCGTTTCCCAACCCCTGATCTTCAACTCTGCACCTACACTGCAGAACCGATCCACTTTGACATCACTTTGACACCCTGGGCTCAATGCTATGGGATCCCAGGAGTTGCAGTTTGGTGAGGCAGCAGCCCCTTACAAAACTACAACTCCTGTGATGCCACGCAGTTCAAGTAGTGTCAAACCACGTTAATTGTTTTTGTTCAAGGGTCAGGGATTCTGGGAGCCGAAGTCCCAAACAGAATGAGAAAGTGAATGCCCTGACTCTCTCACGCACAGCCTTTATTGGCATACAGCAACAAAACTGGCACTCGGCACAGGTGTGTGTGTATATATATATATACACACACACACAGAGGAGGAAGTCACAAATAAAAAGAAAACATACTTAAAAGTTCCTAATCTCAAGTCCTGACTAAAAGCTGTGAGATCTTGGGAGTTGTACTTCTGCAAGGTTTTCGCCTTCCCTGCCCAAGAGAAGTGCCTCACCAAACTACAGCTCCCAGGATTCCATACCATGGAGGACTGCAGGCAAAGTGGGGCCACACTACATTAATTCCAACTAGGTCTAGCATCCTGAATTTGGAATGTTTTTGCCCCCCAAAAAGATTTTCTATTTCTCTCTCTCTTTCTCTCTCCTTCCTCTGTTTCTTTTATTTTTTGTTTAATGTGTATTATTTTGAATGCGATGCCTGGGAGTGTGGTGGAGCCCCCTCCTCTGGAGGTTTTTAAACAGAAGCTGGATGGCCATCTGTGGGGAGTGCTTTGATTGTATTTTTCTGCATGGCAGAATGGGACTAGATTTTTTTTTCTGTGTGAGGAGCGACTTGCTGTGAGAGAATTGGCCATTTGCAAGGACGTTGCTGAAGGGCTACCCAGATGTTTTTCCATTCTGTGGGAGGGTTCTCTCATGTCTCTGCATGGGAAGCTGGAGCTGACAGATGGGAGCTCACCGAATTCCCTGGATTTGAACCATCAACCTTTTGGTCAGCAGTTCTGCCAGCACAAGGGTTTAACTCATTGGCCTTAAATGCCAATAAAAAACCCTCATATGAAGGTTCCTCTTCCCTTTACTATTTAGCTGGGTAGAAGATCATTGTTTTCTCATCAGTTGTACAGTCATCCTAGATGAACTTCAGGGTCTCTACCAATTCTCTGATTCTCTGATTGGATATTGCATTATTAGGGTTAAAAACTATGTAACATAATTTGAATTTTTTTTCTGTTCCTGGCCTGAAAGTGTTATTTCCTGTTTAATTGAGTACTACTTCACTCTGAAAGTAGTTGAAGTACTCCAGAAACTTTGTTTTTGTGGCTGCCACAAACTATGTTGAGACTTCGTGAGATAGTAATTGAAAAGCTTTGGCTAAACATGCTGCAGGATGTCTCGCAAAAACAAAGTTGTTTTTTCAGTTTAATAAACTTTCCCAGTGTTTTTATGATAGGACCAATTAGGAAACAACATTTATAACCCAGGAATAAAAATCATATTGCATAGTGTAAACTTTCAAGTCCTAAAAAAGAAACAAACCCCAAATAGATGGTATAAGTTGAGGCTCTCTTATCTAGATTCCCCCTCTCTGAACTAAAGAAACTTCAGATATCCCTAATTCAGTGGTTCTCAACCTGTGGTTCCCCAGATGTTTTGGCCTTCAACTCCCAGAAATCCCAACAGCTGGTATACTGGCTGGGATTTCTGGGAGTTGTAGGCCAAAACACCTGGGGACCCACAGGTTGAGAACCACTGCCATAATCAGATACAGGTTGAGCATTTCTTATCCAGAATCCCATCCCTGAAATTAAGCAATTTCCTATGTTGCTAATTATTTTTTTAGCATCCCATATCTGGAATACCTAAACTGGAAATATCTGAAGTTGATCAGATAGGTGTCGGAGATAGTGATGCTTTTGCTTTCAGATGGTTCAATGTACATAAGCTTTGTTTCATCCAAAACATTATTTAAAATATTGTGTGAGAAATGACCTTCAGGCAATGCGTATATGAAACTTAAAGGAATGTTGTGTTTTGACTTCGACCCATCTCCAAAATAGCTAATTTAACATCCTGCCAGTACAGGTGTTCCAAAATCCGAAAAAAGTTGTTCTGTCCCAAGCCCTAGATAATGAGGGTTGTTATTCTCCTGTTTAGGTTGTAATAGCAGTCCTGGCCAAAGAGAGACGTGAAGTTTCCCCATGGACAGAAGAGGCCTTTTTTCTCCATGGTTTGTAATATATTTTACGTATGCCTCTTTGTTTTTTTAAGCTGCCATGCTCAAGCAAATGCATAGATTTGGGGAAATGGTTTCGTTCTGAAATTACTGACTTGTATTGTTAAGATCAGGGGTCCTCAAACTTTTTAAACAGAGGGCCAGGTTACAATCCCTCAAACTGTTGGAGGGCCAGATTATCATTTGGGAAAAAACATGATTATCATTTGAAAAAAAATTGTAGTGCAAAAAACCCCCACTTAAAAACAATATAATAATTAAAATAAAGAACCATTTTAAGAAGTATAAATTTATTAGTATTTCAGTGGGGAGTGTGGGCCTGCTTTTGGCTGATGAGATAGGATTGTTGTTGTTTTTGTTGTTGTTCTTGTGTGCTTTCAAGTCATTTCAGACTTAGGTTGACCCTGAGTGAGGGTTGGGTAAATGACCTTGGAGGGCCATATCCGGCCCTCAGGCCTTAGTTTGAGCACTCCTGGTTAAGACAGTCATTATTTTTGGGAAAATAAGGCAATTTGTTTTTTAGTTTTCAGAAGTAATTTTAAACTTTTATAAGCTTCCTGCCCATAAACTGAATCTAAAGATGAACTGTCAGTTTTCAGATATGTTTCAGAGGCCAATTACATGTTACATAGGAAATAAATAATGGGATTTTTCATATATATTTTGAGTCAAAGTAGTCATGGGAATAGGACCTTTGGTTCAGGAAGGCAAAGATGGACCTGAAGTTTTGTGCCTATGATTTCTTATATCAGAGAAAAGCGGGTAAAAGCTCTTTTCGATCAGGATGTGATCCACTTTTATATCTAGCCACTTTGGGTCTCCTACAGGAGAGATAAAACAGGGTATAAATAAATATAATAATAGGTGAGTTTTTGTGAATTTTCTGGGCTGTATGGCCATGTTCCAGAAGCATTCTCTCCTGACGTTTCACCCGTATCTATGGCAGTCATCCTCAGAAGTTGAGAGGTCTGTAGGAAACTAGGCAAGTGGGGTATATATACCTGTGGAATATCCAGGGTGGGAGAAAAAAAAATCATGAAAACAAAAAAAAAATCATTAAAATGATCAAAATCTGGCTACCAGTATTTAAAAAACCTCTAAAATCTGGACAGTAAATAAAGAGGAATACTCAAACAACAGGGGAATTCCTGATATGAAACAATCAGGGCCATCTAACACCTCCCAACAAAGGATTTTCCCTAGGCAGCAATTAGCCAGTCTTTGAAGCTGCAAGGCCATTAAATGCTATTCAGGGAAGCCAATTGCAACATTCACAATTACTTTAAACAGACATTTATTTATTTATTTATTTATTTAAAGCATTTATATTCCGCACTTCTCACCCTGAGGGTGACTCAGGGTGGAGCACGACACATATACGGCAAACATTCAGTGCTGGAACATAAAATAAACTATAAATACACATAAATTCTAAAATCAATTATCTCCACTTTAAAAAACAGTTGTTTAAGACCATCTCAGATCAGCCATACTGGATCATATTGTTGCCATATTGCACTGTCCTGAAGGCTTGGTCCCACAGCCAAATTTTTATCATCTTTCTGAAGGACCGGAGGGAAGGGGATGACCCTGGACATTCCACAGATATGTAAACCCCACTTGCCTAGTTTCCAACAGACCTCACAACCTCTGAGGATACCTGCCATAGATGTGTGCAAAACACCAGGAGAGAATGCTTCTGGAGCATGGCCATACAGCCCTTAAAACATACAGCAACCCTGTGATTCCTGCCATGAAAACCTTCAACAACACATAATAATAATATCTAGTTTGTACCATCGATATCTGTTTTGCAAACTACCATGCTGAATATATTTTCAGAAAAACACATACAACACTTTGGATATGAAAATGAGAATAGCATTTCTGTTAGAAGATAAGGTTTGGGCTTCCTTATCTACTCCATCTTCTTGACGTTCGTATCCGTTACTTGATGAATTGCTACCTCGTTTGTGTCATTTCCTTCTAGGCTATATTGCAGGCAATAAAAAAAGAATATCACAGTTGATGCGTGACAAATAAATTTGCTCTATAGATGATAGTGTTATCTTGCTTTGGAAAGGGCTTGAGGAGATAATAATTTGTAAAATTAAATGAAAACATTTTCTGTTACATGTCTAAAACTCACTTGAGGAGAGAAATGGAGTGACAGGCCATCGCTGTACTGATGTGTTCATGCATTGTAGTGACTGTGAGTGGCTTCAGAGATGACATGGTAGTCTTTCTGCTGGTAGGTTGTTGTAAGTTATTCGGGCTGTATGACCATGTTCCAGAAGCATTATCTCCTGGCGTTTCGCCTGCATCTATGGCAGGCATCCTCAGAGCTTGTGAACTCAGTGATTCTGGGTGTGAAAGCCTTCGATGATACTTTCTGCTGGTGTTTTATGGATTTTATTTTTTACATGGTGAACATGTAATGTGTGACACACATGCATGGAGATCAACAAAGACAGATACTACTAAGAGGATTTTGGCTTGGCCATAGTTCCAGTCCTGAGCACATAAACATTTCAGGACAGATACTTGTCACTCTGAATGCCATAAGGAGAAACACAAGAGCTGAGAAGACTTTCTGAGACTATGTAATTGCGGAAGAAAACTTTTTAAAGAGCTTATGAAGCAGGCATTGCTTACTTCATTTGGAAAACGAAAGTAGTGCAGGGTGCAATGACATACTCACTGTTTGTGAGGTAGCCGATGTCGGAAATGGAGGCAGTAAAGAATAGTCTTGGAAGAAGTTCTTTCTAAAGCAAATGTACTTAGCTGCAAAAGGGTAAAGTCTCCTGTTTAATTGTGTGCAATATTACGTTTACCTTTTTTAGGGCCAGTGAATGACATTATTATTACTTTATTCTGATTAAAGAGTTTTGTATTAGTGTTTGTTTATACATCCAAGACAATAAAAAACTGTATTGAGGTTCAGAAGGAGGGAGGAAACCTAATTTATGTCATGACATAAAACATGACTTTGCAAGTTCGACTTCGTTGGTGCTCTGTGCTTTTCAAATGGTATTTATTTGTTTATGTGTAGAGGTATCAACACCGTCCTGCTTCTTTGGTGCTTCCAGTGATATAACAGTGTCATTGTGCAACTATGGACTTTTTGTTTTACGTTGTCATTTTTTGCCAGAATAAATAATTGAGTATTAAGCCAGTTTTGCAGTTTTCAGATGTGTGTTTTACTCATTCTATTGAATGTGTGATCTGGTGGACTTCTTTCCAGATTGAAATGCTGTTCTATGAAATACTGAACTGTTCATTACTCGTAGACATATGTCAAATATGCTCTGTTTCTCAAAGTGATGATGCCTAAGTGATGCCAAAACAGAATTTTCCACTCTCTCAGTTTACCTTGCACTTTCCAAAGAACTAAACAGTACAAGAGTATATATTGTAGCTGACATAAGAACCTTCTCTTTGGTGCTATTTGAGATTCAGAGGAAGTTTATTTACGTTTTTCTGTATTGAAAAGAGGGGGCTTTCATTTGGTTGAGTTAGAATACAAATCCCATATGTAGATAGAAAAAAATAGATGAAATATTTAAAAATATGCCTTATAACAGCGTTTCTCAATCTGTGGGTTGGGACCCCGGGGGGGTGGGGGTGGCTGGGTTGTGTGGCGGTGTCAGAATGGTCGTCGAAGACTATCAGAAACACACGGTATTTTCTGTTCATCATGGGGGTTTTGTGTGGGAAGTTTGGACCAATTCCATCGTTGCTGCGATTCAGAATGCTGGGTTGTTGTAGGTTTTTTCGGGCTATATGGCCATGTTCTAGAGTCATTCTCTCCTAAGGAGAGAATGACTCTAGAACATGGCCATATAGCCCGAAAAAACCTACAACAACTCAGTGATTCTAGCCATGAAAGCTTCGACAATACATTCAGAATGCTCTCTGATTGTAGGTGAACTATGAATTTCAGCAACTACAACTCCCAAATGTCAAGGTCTGTTTTCCTCAAATTCCACCAGTGTTCACATTTGGGTATATTGAGTATCTGTGCCAAGTTTGCTCCAGATCCATCATTGTTTGAGTCCACAGTGCTCTTTGGATGTTGGTGAACTACAACTCCAAAACGTAAGGTCTGTGCCCACTAAACCCTTCCAGTATTTTCTGTTGGTCATGAGAGTTCTATGTGCCAAGTCTGGTTCAGTTCCATCATTGGTGGAGTTTTGAATGCTCTTCAATTGTACTTGAACTATAAATCCCAGCAACTACAACTCTCTAATGATAAGATCAATCCTCAAACCCACCAGCATTCAAATGTGGGCGTATTGGATATTTGTGCCAAGTTTGGTCCACTGAATGAAAATGCATCCTGCATATCAGATATTTACATTACAATTCATAACAGTAGCAAAATTACAGTTATGAAGTGGCAACAAAAATAATTTTATGGTTGGGGTTCACCACAACATGAGGAACTGTATTAAGGGGTTGCAGCATTTAGGAAGGTTGAGCACCACTGCCTTATAATTTCTTCGGGCAATCACAAGATCATCAGGAACAGGCTTGACAAAATATAACAATAGAAATGTTTAGATCCCTGTTGTGTGGCCAGCGGAGGAATCAAGTGAATTATAAAAGTCGAAGGTTTGGAATGTCTGTTCTTTCAAATGTTTTGTACTATCGCTCCCATAATTCCATGCGTTTTGGCCATAATGGCTGGGGCTACTGGATTGCCGAAGGTACTAAAAAAGTGTACTTGGGTACTTCATTTCAAACTTTGAGTATCTTAGAAGATAACATTCAAAATAATAAACCATATCTGACATTTTATAATATTCAACTATGTGGTTTTTGTGTAGGGCTGGGACTTTGGAGACCAAGGTTGAAATCCCCACTTGGCCATGGAAATCCGCTGGGCGGCTTTGGGAAATCCCACTTGCTCAGCCTCAGAGGATTGCAACAGCCAACTCCCCTGAACAAACCTCGCCAAGAAAACCCTTGTGATGAGTTCACCTTGTGGTCTC